TTGAGCTTGACGTCGTAGTAGTCGTTTACCTCGTCCACAATAACGACGTCGTCTCCGCGCGCCAGCAGGGTCTTGGCGGTGTGGAATCCGATGAATCCTGCTGCACCCGTCACGAGAATGCGACGGCGCGCACTAGCGGTCGCAGTACATTCGGCAAGAGCGTCGGTAGCCTGGTTTGGTGCCATGTCTGATTATAAGTCGAGCAAGCTGCTTGGGCAGAGGATGGAAAACTGAGGAGTGAGAGACTGTGGTGTCGGATGCAATGTGTGTCGGTCTGGCCCCCACGTCTTGCACCAATGGTGAGTTGCCGAGGCAGTGACTGGAGACCATCATTCTGTTGGCGAGGTTGTAACCAATGGCGTGTTGCCGTTTTCTCGCGGACCAATTACAGCGCCGCAATTTGTGTTAGCCTAATCAGAGATCGCCTGATTCGTTATCCACATTTTCGCCCTTCGAGCCGACGCGTCCAGCTGCTCCCAAACAGATTGTCCGGAAGAGCTGAAGACGAGATGATCTAGGAGATGGGGCTGCTTCGACGCCCGCATGTGTGACTCGTAACTTGCGGGGCCACATACTATACACATGTACTTGCGACGTACTTGCAACGCCATGTTCGCTACAACCGTTGACCGCAAAGCTGTGTTAAACCAGGCGATGTAACCGTGTTTCCGGAGTGAATTGCAGCGGTCTGCTTCAGAAAACATCGAAAACGAAACGAAAGCGGACACCACTACGGACACCGAATATATGCACCAATTGGAAAACGTGTTGTCCGCTGCCGAGCTTGTGATCGGTCAGCGCATTCTGAAAAGATCACTCTCCGATTGCTCCTTTTCGGTAAAGTCAGTTGTGCAGATGGTGTCCCATCTGCATGCGCTGCTGTTTGGGCAGAATGAACCGCATGACAGAACTTCTGCCGAGAGGAAACCCACACATACCAAGCACTGCTCTGCGGTTACATATCACTATATTGCCATTTAACTCCAGGCAACCATCCCAAAGAAGTCCTTCGTTTGGTAGTCTGCGTTTTGTGGTACTTTAGTGAATGTATGATTAATGTACGTTTCTGCTTTCAATGGATTGCTTTAATTAAATGGATTGGGTTTGAATCAAGAAATCTGAATTTTGTCGTCCCCCAGAATCTGTCGGACATCGTACCCATCTGATTGGTACGCGTCGGACATTCTGTCTGACATTTTCTGAAAAAGCGATTTTCCTTTTCCTATCTGAATGTGAGGCTCACAACGCAAAGTGCGATTCTCCCCTCAAACGTCAGACAAGTGTACAACTAGAATGGAGGGCTATGATTGGGTCAAGCTACGGAGCGAAGTCCGTGAAATTCGCGAGAACACTGTGAATCCCCGCTCACGAACTACATACTTGAACTCCTACAGTCGATTCCTTGCGTGGGCTGCGTTCAACAGACAGTCCTACGTGTCAGGTGGGTTCATCGATACGATCGGCCACGTGGAAGACTATACAGAACAGCAACTTTGCGCTCATGTGAAGCAGAAGCTTGCCCAAGATCGCACTATACCACCGGTGGACTTCGATAAACTCCAGGCACAAGATTTTGTCACTTGGTTGGTGACACTAAAACGCAGAGATGGTGGACCTCTGAGCTACTCAGCCCTCAATACACATAGGACAGCATTGTTCAATCTATACCGGGATTTTGGATTTACTATGGCTAAAACGCTGGAGTCGGAGCTGGCGAACCACTTCAAAGGACTAAAAAAAAGCTAGCTAAAGACGTGGGGAACGGAATTGGTGACGTCAAGACAGGCAAAGATCCACTGATGTTTGATTTGTACACGCTTCTCTGCCAAAAGATGCTTGCTCACCCGGCGAAGGAGATGACTTTCTCGCACACATACATGGTGATTGCGTGGAATTTGATGTGTCGTTCGTCTAATACATTTGACATTCGACACTCTCATATGGAATGGCGTGGCGACGCATTGCAGATCTATTTTGCTCATATGAAGAATGACCAAGGTGGTGATCGCCCTCGTGACCCGCGTCACATATATGCTAACCCTTTGCGACCTGAAATTTGCCCAATTCTAGCTTTAGGGATCTTTTGGGCATGTAATGATTTTTAAGGAACAGACTTACTATTTCCCGGTAACAACCAATACGAGCGGTTTCGGAAGTCGCTGCAACGAATTCTGACACAGCAAGATATCGCCGCTGAGCTGAGCCGCCAGGGACTTAAAGATACGGCAGCTAGGTACTCATTATGTGCGAAAAGGTGCGGCTACGTTCTGCTCGTCTGGATCGACTGCGTGTCCATCATCGACAGTAGTACATTTGCGAGCAGGTGGGTCCTTAGGAGGTGTCCAGAATACATATCTTCGATACGAGGCAGCTGGCGATATGCACGTCGGCCGCACTGTTGCTGGTCTACCTACGGAGAGTTCACAGTTTTCTATTTTGGCTCCACACTTTGAGGATCACGAGGAATGCGTGAAAACTGGAGTTAAACTGATGTTTCCTGGTATTCCAGAGAGGTTGGAATTTGTAGCGGAGTATTGCTTAGCCTCATTTGTCTATCACTATACATATCTGAAGGCAACATTGTCACGTGAACACCAACTATTTGAGACTCCACTGTTCCAAGACACAGACTTGCAACATCAATTGCTGAGTAAAAACTGGCGATGGAAGCGAACAATCTCGAATTCGCCCAACCGGAATACCCCCGCACGTATCACTATTGTGTGAGATGAAATGACTAAAGCAGAGCTTGGTGAATGCGTTATCCGAAATTGAATCTACCCGAGTTGCAACCGTAAAGGATATCGTAGGCGAACTGGAAGCTAGAGCAATTGGTGCTGGTACC